TCTGTTTGGGTATTTGGTTATATAAAAGTGAGCATTAGAATGAATGGATTACCTGTTACTAACATACCTGGGTTGAGGGAGCCTCAATTGGGGAATTACCTCTATTGGACTGGCCTGTGGCCATGTCTGAGGGGTTCTTCTTGATGAGTGATATGGGAGGGCCCAGCCCACTGTGGGTGGTGCCACCCCTGGGCAGGTAGGTCTGTGTTGCATAAGAAAGCAGGCTGTGCAGGAGCCAGGGGAGCAAGCCAGTAAGCAGCATTCCTCTATGGCCTGTGCTCCAGCTCCTGCCTCCAGGTTCCTGCCCTGAGTTCCTACCTTGGGCTCCCGGATGAACTGTGACCCTGGATGTGTAAGCCAAATAAACTCTTTCCTCCCCAAGTTAGTAGTGGTCAGAGTATTTTGTCATAGTAATGAAGAAACAAACTAGAGCAGAAATTGGTACCAGGAGTGGGGTATTGCTGTGACAAACCTGACCTTGGTGTTTTTGGGAGGACTATGGAAGTGTTTGGAACTTTGGGCTGGAAAAGCCACTGAGTCCTCAGAATTTGTTGCTGTGGACCTTGGAACAGTTATGCTGAAAGAGTTGCAGATGATGGAGGCCTGGCTTGTGAAGCTTCAAAGGGAAGTGGACACTATCAGGGCTGTTCCTGTGATATTTTGAATTGAGAATCTGTGGGTTCTGGTCAGTTGGGGCTGAAGAATCAGCTGTGATTGGGAAGAGACTAGAACCTGAAGTAAGGTCTTTGCTTTGCTGGGACAATTGATGCTGGTTAGCTGGGGCTGAAAATCAGCTGTAAGTAACAAGAGACCAGCAACACTGTGGTGAAATCTTCTGGGAGGTATTTCCTCAGGGTCAGCACACAGAGGGGACCTGAACCTCCATCTCTAGCTGGAAGCAGAACTTGGTAATGTGTAAGAGTCTACTGCATGGTTCTGTTGTTGAAAGCGTGAAGGGGTCACAGACAGCAGATGAGGCTTGGCACTCTGAGAGGCCAGGAAAGGCCATAGGTTGAAAGTGCAGCTTCACTTACAGTGAAGACCCCAGGATTGAAGGGGTCATGGAGAGAATCTGAGGCTTTGCACCCCAAGAGGCAAGAAGAGGCTATTGGTGAAGGTGTAGCCTCAGCTTCAGTGGAGACCCCAGCTTTTTGGAGATGCTGGGACCATGGGACGACCACCACTCACTTCTGACTTCCACTGGCATTGCACAACATGGGTACACTTCTACAAGTGCAGACAATACACTTATTCACATAAAATAATTTAAAAATTAAGTATACAAAGTAGGTATACAAAGCAAACATTTACTTATGCATGCATTTTTATCATTTATTAATGATGGGATCAAATTTGCATATTAATGAAGTGGAAGTGCTTATTTTTATATAAAGAATTAAATCTTGACTGAATATTTGATACTGTATGTCGCAGAGAATACTCAATGTTTTTCAGAGTTGATCAATATTTTGATTTTACACCTGTCAATGCTGTGACGGTCACTCACATAAACTCATAGTTTAAAAAGGCAGATGGGCGGCAGAGTCAGGTAGATCTTTGTGAGTTCAAGGCCAGCCTGGTCTACATAGTGAGTTCCAGGACAGCTGGGGCTACAAGGAGACCCTGTCTCAAAAAGACAAAAAAAAAAAAGAAAGAAAAAAGAAAAAAAATCAGATGTATATTTAGGGTCATTTTAGAAATTGTTGGAAATTCTGTCCTAATCCCAATGTGATGTCCATTTAGTAATTTTTATGAAGCTCAAGTCAGCAACTCAAAGAGCAATTTTAAAAATCAAACATCTGAACACAATACAAACAATAGGTATACTAATTTGATACCATGCTGAGGGCAGACAGCAGGAAAATATTAAAAGTCTTTTTTTCCCATAATTAAATCATTATATTTAAGAGCAGAAAATTTTGTATGTGCAATAGAAACACTGCAATTCATAGCACATAGTGGTCTCTGATCTTCAACAAGGCATTTGCTGCCACATTCCTTAGCAGTGTGTAGCCTGATGGCATGTGCAGTGTAGTGCAGTGTGCATGTATATTCAGAACCAAGGCTGCAAGAAAACCTGTGATCCAACAAGAGAGAACAGGCCAGAGATACATATTTGATTCTGAATTAATTTTTTGTCACTGCATATTCAGACACTCTCTGTGACTGCCATATTTTTTCACAATCCTAGCATTCAGTAAAGAAAATCTCAGTTTAGAGGATGAGGTTTGAGCCACCCAGCAGGAAGCACTAGGGTGTAGGTGGCAGCCTGGGGCAGGGAGGGGCTTAAGCCAAACTGATCTGTAGTCCAGACTGATCCTAGAAAGATGTTACTTATATTTCTTCCTTTTTTTGCCAGACAGGAAATAAACATTACCTGGAAGGAGGAGACGACAAAACGTGAGGTAAACAGTGGTCATAGAGGGGAGGCAGCTGTCTTGCAAAGCAGGGTGGAGCCACTTGGAAACATGCGCACATTACCAAGTATGGAGGGGTGGCCACGCCCACAGGTCAGGCAGGCTTGCAGACCTCAGCAGAGAGGTCTAGCAGTCTGCTTTTACAGAAAAGGAAGGCCCTGGAAAGTATTCTGCTTTCTCAATACACAAACGCCTCAGAACTTAGCTTTCAATGGGAAGGAGAAGTGCCAGAAAACCACACACTGACTTTAGCTTAAATCTGAATCATAGAGAAAAGCCCTCGAATAACTGAGTTTATCTGGAACTGAACTCTTCCTTAAAACGTCTCAAAATAGTGTGTGCCTCAGAGGAAAGCCTGTGTTGTGTGTTTCAGAATGCCAACTGTAATACAAACTTTCTATAGAGAGGTTCTCAGAAACAAATACTAATTGACTTGAATATATCCATTTTTCTACCATCAGGCAAAGCTGGGCTGTAATGAAAGATAACTGTTTCTTGAGTTCATGGCTAAAAATATTGTGTCAGCTGCATGTATGTCTCTTTGTTAACAATAAGCTCCTTACTGACAGACAATCATGGTCTAGCCTTATCTTCAAAGTTAATGTAACATTGGCATAGTTGCTATGTAGACACACAGTTGCTCCATCCACATGAGCGTGTTATGTCAAGTGTCCTAGTTTGTCTCTCCATTGCTGTGACAAAACACTCTGACCAATACCAACTTGGGGAGGAAAGGGTTTATTTAGCTTACATATCCCGTGTCACAGTTCATCCTGGGGCCCAAGGTAGGAACTCAGGGCAGGAACCTGGAGGCAGGAGCTGGAGC